GATAGAAAGCGGAATGACGGCCGCGCCATTCCATTCCTGCTTCATCCGACAAGACTGGAAATTCCTCCTGGAAAGGAGGAAAATCGAATATTTTGCACATTTCAAATAGCTTCTGATCAAAAGGATCACCTTTTACTACTCAATATTGAATCAATGTCGAATTCTTACTTTAAAAGATATAAGAAACAATAGAGCTTCCATCGCAGGCTATGTGCGCGTTGGGCTTTGGAGGTGGTGTAGTGGCAAGTGGGCCGCTTACGATTCGCATGGTCGAGAATCAAACTCCGGATCGGCTCTTGCCCAGTCCATCCAGGCCTTCTAACTCTCCGAGGCCAGCTCATTGCTACCGAATTCGGAGGATAAGAGCCCTTAATCATGGCACGTCGTACGTTTGAGTAGCGAGGGGGTATATGGTGGTAGGGGTCGTATTTACGCATTTATCTGAGTCTTTGATCAAAGGCTTGAAAAACTAGAATATTTCTTCTCGGTTACTTTTCTAATGCGATGTGTCCCTTCACCGCTCCCCGCTTGAGTTCGACGGTAGCTTTCGGGGAAAAATTGGTATGTAGGATGGGAAGGAGAAGGGATCGTACCAGTGGGGAGGTTTTGAGGAGAGTGGAGGGAGGGTCGTATTTTTTTTCTTTCTTTTTTGGTTTTGAGGAGAGTGGTGGGTCGTATTTTTTTTCTTTGTTTTATGTTCCTCAGCGCCAGGAGGTTCCCTGACCCTAATTTGAGGATCGGCTTGTCCTCGTTATTTGGTTCTGAATAGACTAAGCCACATTCAAACTGCCAAGTCAGTTCTGAAAGACACTTGTGTGGCGTATCCCAAAAGGAAGCATCAACACCGAATGATTTGTCCTTTTATCGTTTACAGTTCCAGACTAACGGTTGAACTTTGAAGAAGGCTTTAGGGAAGCGGAAGCATCTCTCGTTCCTCCTAAAGTTTCCCGTAGTTACCTCAACCGCATGAGAACTTTTCGAATGCAGGATTTTCCATTTTTTTCAAAATTGCCTCGAGGGCCTTTTTCAAATTCAACAAGCGCTCATGTGAAATTGCGTGACGGCTCGACGTTAAGTCAGCGCCTGAGCATTGCTGACTGACTTGCTTACTTGCCTGCTGACTGGCAGTGCTTGGCCTACACGGCTTAGGCGTGGACAACGACATCCAATAAGTGGGCGCTGATCTAATTGTGGTCGTCCGCTGTGCACAGCAACGACGGCGAAGACGACAAGCACCACAACTTCTTATCGCACTTGAAGATTCCGCCTCTCGGATCAGTCCCAAGTGCGTGCACATTCGCTGAGTGCCGGCAACATCTCCAGTGCGCTCTGCAAGCCTTCTTCTTTCATTTTGACGTAACGGAAATGTAATTTTCACAAATTCAATTTTTTTCAAGAGGATAGCTGATTGATGTCAGAAGACGCTCTCGTTGCCGTTTGAACTGACTATTTGTTAACTTACAAATGTCATATTCTCGAAGGAAGTACGTCGTATGATGGGGATTTTAACGGGGAGCCGTATTTGGTCGCTGGAGAGAAAATGGAAGGGGTCGTATGCGAGGAGGAAAGAATGAGCCAGATTGTTGACAGTTCCCGTTTCGCGCTCTTTGAAGATCCCCATCTCCCAGATCCTGCTTTGAAAAACTTTATTTTTCTACTTCTGGTAGTTGAACGGAGGTCTCCAACGCACCCCCCTCCCTAAGATCGTCTGTTGGCCCGGCTTGAGGAAAAATTTTGTGCTTGTTAATTTTTCTTGTTTCACGCGTACTATGGCCCCCTCCTCCAGCTGACAGGGCGGCAAAACTAGAATTTTTGATAGTTGATCAGAGAAATTTTTCGGGAGTGTCGGGAGTAAGATGGTTTATGTATTGTACCATTGAAGGGGGTTGTGCTGGAGAGAAAAGTTGGTTCCACCGACGCTATGCCGCGTCTTATTCTCGAATGCACTCCATTGTCGATCATAAGGGTCGGCAAACTCTTTAACAAAACTTTGACTTTTTTGTTCCTCTTTCTCTTCTGAATGGGCCTAAAGCATGGCATGGAAAGACGATGGGAAATTCTGGTGGTTACAATCTTCTCAAACAAAGAGCGAGGCGTGGGACTCCGCACTTTCCTTGCGGTTCAAGGTTGCGAACTGTATTGCTAAGATACAACGCCACCCCTCAACTTCGAATTTCCTCAACTGGTAAGAAGTCCCTACCTCCAGTGACTACTTACGACCACCGCCGGGAGCCCCAACCTACGGCGTGTCAGGCTTCGGGTGAATCGCTCTCTGGCCTGAAGGGCTACAAGCGAATGCAGTCGGCCTATTCCACAGGGCGATTTCAGAATGACTTCGCATATCATTCAGCTTCACATCTACAGTTCTTCACAGTAATCGGTAGGCTACATTATTCCCCAAAATAGGAGCTGCCCCTCCCCTTCCTAGAAACTAGTACTACACTCTTTTTATCGCACGGCTTCGTTTTGCGAGCAAATCTCAATGTTTGAACTGCCTTGCTTAAATCACAGGCATCCAAGGAATTTTCATTTCTCACGATCTTACTCTTGTTCTCACCTTCTAGATCCGAACTTCAGAGATCTGCCTGAAATGACTGCTCTCAAACTAGTTCTGAAAGCTTCAAAAACTACTGAACCTCCTTAGGACGAGCTGATCGTCGTGGTCATCAGTGAAACTTAATTTCGGAAGGGGGGGGGGGGACTCATCCATAAATTTGTCGTTCTGTTGCTAGCATCTAGGAGATAATACCGAGGACTCACCCTAGTCACAAAGCTAAAGTCGCCCTTTAGCATGATCAGTAAGGACTTTCGCGGTGTTTCAGTGCAACTTTTTTTGCCCCTGCTGACGGTAATTACTTGATTAGCCGCTTTTCATAGGCACAGGAGATGAGCTCGGAGAATGAAGGCTAATTCGCGTTTACCAAAGCCATAACAATTGAAAAAACTTATATTGCTTAGCTGATATGCTCTGGTCTGCTATTTCTGCAACGGAGCCTGGCGTAGTTTCCGTATGTACAGCCTTTCGTTGCGGTGTGCTGGATGGCCCCTCAGGGGCGGGACTGGGTTTGGTGCGGCGAAAACCAGTTTTCCGCACCATAATAAGATCGCTCCCAGCTCCCACACAGGCAGCGCCAAAAACCGAGAAAGTCATGCAAACTGAAAATGGAACAGAAAATATGCACCACAACTGGAAGGAATACGGGCACTGTTTGAATTGGTGAGGGCAAACTTCAGTCAAACTAGTGAATTCCTCTCCACTGATAATGACCTTACTTGTACTCTTTTCACTACTAGAGCTATGAGGTCCTCACCAAAGCGAGACCGTTTGGTTAACGTTGGTGAACCAGCAACGAAGGGAATTAACCAACAGTGCCTAAACCTCATTCGCCCCTCATCTGAGCATCGCCTAAACTTTATTATCGCTCTATGTTTAAAGATAACGTCTCGTATTCATCTTTTTCTCAAAACAGACGCTGTTTTCTGGTCCCGCATCGATGGGGCATTCGAGCACCTAAAGTTTTTGCTGAGTCTTGAATTGAAAATTTACACAAAATTTATTTTCACAATCTGCCCATTTTGCGAGACTCACAAATTGCGTCACGACTCTGGAGAGAGAACCGACGAGGTCGCAATCGGCGAGGGGGGGAAGCATTTTGCCACGTTTTCAAACTTCATCAAGTGTTTACCTATCTAGGAGCTTCTACTCGAGTTGACAGGTTTCAACATGATGGTTTGACGACCTTGCTCCAGCTTCACAAGAGCTCACAGGTTTCGCTAGAATGAGACTTGCAAACTTGAACTAAGTAAGCAATGATATCACAAAATGTCCCCCGTCGCCGAAACTAGTAGTATACTCCCCTCAAAATTCAGATAACTCGATCGAAGATCGAAATTAGGGGAAAAATCGAAGCGCAATGCCATATTCGAGAGTGAATAGGCTGCGTTTCTTATCCATGTCTGTTACGAGCCACTGCGGCTGCGTTGAGCTCAGACAAAAAAGGAGGCAAGAGAATTTATATTAGAAAGTGAGTCGCAGCGGAATGAAGACCTCACTGAAACACCCCTCTTTGCCATTCGATTGGGTCATAGGAATTTCACGGCTCATACCACAATTACTAGTATGAAAGAGTACAGCAGAATAGGAAAATCCCTTTGGAGGGGGGAGGGGCATACATGGCCGCAATGCTACCTACATGAGCACTTTTGCTGACAGTTGATTGGAAAGGACCCCCCCCCGTTCAACTCGAGATCAGTTTGGAAGTCGGGGGCGGGGGGGGGGGCGGGGGGGAGGGGGGAAGAGTTGTGTCACACTGCATATCGACCCATCTCGATACCGTCGTACCTGTAGTGTATACACGAGTACAGCATCGTTGTGTGAAACACATGACGGGGTCGTATTCGGTCGTTGTGGGGAGAGTGGGGCGGGAGGGGTGGTCGTATGTGGCTTTGAGAGAACTTGCCGCATTGTGTCTCTGTTTGCTGAGTTTTGGGGTTTTTCCCCGTCTCAAAGAATTTCTATCGTTCGCTGACTTTTCGCAGTTTTTCCGTTTCACATTGCCTATATACCGCTCGTGAAAACTGGTAGGAAGCTGGCAACTTGTAGGAAAGTGGTTGGTAGGTGTTGGGGAAGGGGAGGGATCGTACCGAGACCCATATCGAGGGGGGGGGTGTACTGAGACCACCACACGATGCTGTACTCTGAGTGTATGTTCACGAACTCGACAGACATGGCCGTTCTCGCTTTCAGAGAAGCTAGACCCATGCTCTGTGAGATTTGAAAATCACCTCCAAATTACACCTCACAGAGCATGAACCCAGCAATTTACTATGGATTTGTTGGAAGAATCCAAATTTCTCTGCCGTTGTAGCTTCTTCACTTCCTTTAATCCTTTTCTTCTTTTCTCATCACTATTCTTTGTTCTGTCTTTTCCACCCACGACAAGCTCCAACAGTGATCAACGGCATAAGTGGATATTTCAGGGAAATGGCTAGTTACTAGTATGTCGGCACACGCTATACTACTCTTCGTCGTGTTCTACAGTTTCATACGGGTGGCAATCACTGAAGATACCGAACGATGCAGTTTAAACGAGGAGCGCAAAGTGAACGAATGTCTGCAGGTTAGTTAGTTTGATAGAAATAATAAATGCTACTACAAAAATGCTGAGTTATGGGCAAAAGTGAGACCCAAAATGGGACATTCTCTTGGGTTCGACCTTGCGAGAAATGCGGCACTTTGAATGATGTGGCCTATACAATGACTTGTGTGCAGGGCACGTCCTGCTATTGGGGAGAAACTCCGTAACATACACTCCTCCTCAAAAATCCTTCTCTTGTACGACCTCCCCCAAATTTCTTCTGGTACGACCCTTTGAAAATCGTTCCTTGGTAAGATCCCCTTTCCCAACCCCCATCCTACCCACTATCTTTCTAGATTCTCCCTTTCCCTCCCAATCTTCTATCACTTCTCCGGAGACATTCTCTAGTTTCCAAAAAAAAACTGCGGTTGAGCGGAGGGGGGAGAGGGCATGTAGCCCCAGTAAGACGGGAAAACCAAGAAAGGTCAACAACCTGGAATTATTTCTCTCAAAAGGAGGTAGCACCCGCTTCCTCCACCGAGGCACCCCAACTCCATCTCCGCTGGTGAATTCCACTGTACGACTTGCCCTGGTTACGGGCGCCAGGCAATGCGCAATTTAGTGTTCTTATCCTCCCAGACACAACGGTGCCTATTTACCGTTCCCGGAACGTAGGAGGCTCGTTTGGCCTGGACGTGAGCTGATCCAAGATTCGACCCCCGGACCGCGCAATGGTATGCGCGACTTGCCATTGCACCTCCTCTTATTAATATTAATATTGATAATATTATTATTACTGTTATTATTATTATTGTTGTTATTATTATTATTGTATTCAATAATTCACAGTGATATTAATTGTTTTCTCAGCCAATGCTGGATTATGCTGCTAAACTGCAAGCCGACACCGGTGCTGTACAGTTTCCCTTACAAGGAGGTGAAGTATTCAGGAAGCTCTGCTCAATATTCACGGACTTCAAGGTTTGCTCAGTAATACTACCGTATCGCTACCAATACCTACTACGAAATTCCCATGGAGTAGGCCTTCGGGAAGTCTCGATGTCTTCTGTGAGTACCGTAATCACGTAATGTTGCAGAATTGTGTCGCCTCAATCAGTTGCGATTCGTTGTCTGTAGATGCGGTCGATGCCAGCTATGGGTACATGTGCGGAGCTGGACAACCCCTATTTGAGCAACATGCCGCCTGCTTCGCCCGGGTGAGACCGATCATTTTACTATTATTATTTTGGGCACTGTTCCGCGACGGGGGGGGGGGGGCACTTTGCACTTTCGCTGTTCACTAGTTCCGTTTAACAAGTCTTCCCCAGTGAAACCTGTGAATACTTGAATTCTGCCAAATCTTGCGCGCTCATGAAAGAGCTCTCTCGACGCGTCGATGGAAAGTGGCAAAAGTGCAAAATGCCCCCCTGCCGCCACATTGCACCATTATTTTATATTGTTAGAAAATAACTGAGCTGAACCTCGCTTGCCAGTTCGACACCATTTTTTTCGGAACGCCATATTAGGAAACGATGTTCCGAGTCGGAGCCCGAAAAGATGGAAAATTGAAGCACTACAAGTACTACGAAGCCAAAATTGGCAGATGCACTTTTACGATTGGCAAGCAGCCAATTCTGCTCGAAATTTGTTCTACCTCGTTCATTTCCCTGAAAATGTGATGCGCTGCTTTTATGGCAGACATAAAATTACCGGTACGGCTACGAATAACAATGATCCTTCCATTAGTGAGTTACCTAAGGAAGACGAGACCAAATGTTGTTCAAATGAAGAGTGGAAGAGAGGCCGAAGAAAAGCATAAGGGAGTCAGTGGGTGAAAAGAAAACGAGAGAATAAATTAAAGAGCTTTAGGAAAAGTCGAAGTGAAAGAGCCGAGGTGAGATAAGAAAACTCGAGTAAGAAAAGTCGATTTAACTATGGACTGTTCCTTTTGACCTTTATTAGTGGTTTTTGTGTACCCACGTGAGATTTACCTATGTAATGAAATGAAATAGAAAGCCCGGGGAAGAGAATATGGGAACCAACGGGAAAGAAAGAGAGAGAGAGAGAAATTAAATACCTCCATGGAACGAAAAAAAGAAGGAATCATTGAATGAATGAGTGAATTCTGGGCAGGAGTTGGAGTGAATTCCGAATCCATAAGTTAAACCTCTAAGGTAGGATAGATCAAGAAAGAATGGATAAGGGAAAGCGTAATCAATCGAATTAAATGAACGATTGAAGAAAGAAAGAGAGGCAGTATGAATGGATGAAAGAATCTTGAATGGAAGAAGAAATCCTTGCGGTTAATGAATGGCCTCTCACCCAAAGTTGTCTAGTCTCTCGTCCGTGCCGCTGAGCATCTCTGCGTCTCTATTCATCTCTTCTTTTCTGAGTCGTCTGAGCGCTGAGCGTCTCTGCGTCTCTATTCTCTGTCGACTCACCCAACGCTTGAATCAAAATGGATCTTATTTGAAGTGTCTCAGGGATTTCCCCTTTTCCTCTCCCCACCAACCAGTCAGTCAGTTTCTACAGACTCTAATTTCAACTCCATGATCGATGACCTGTACTCGCGCAGTGTGTCTCTGACTCATTCCGGAATCTCAGCATTCCGGAATCACGCCAAACACTTTTCTTTGTGAAATATTGGCTGGTTGGTATAAGACTTCTGGGCGGCTCTCCTACCGATTTTTGAGCTATTTCTTGTTCCCACTTCTTCTGTTCCCATTTCTTGAAAATGACCCAGGTGAAAATAAGGTGAAAGTGAACGGTAAAAAGTAACTTTTAAAGTTGTTTCAGTATAATAGTTCCTGTTCGACGCAGTAATTCGCGTTTCGCAAGCTAAACAAAAATGCCGAGTTGAGGGCAGAAGTCACGCCAGGTTGGACTCGAACCCGCACTTCACGCTTTCCGAGCGGGTGTTCTATCCGTTATGCCACCATGATTCTTATCCTCTCAACATCATGGCAGAGGCTGTCACACAAAACCCACTCAACGGGCGCAATGGATAGCGCACTTATCTAAAAAGAAGGAGGTGCGAGCTCAAATTCCACCTAAGGCTAAGAAGCTTCTCTTATAACAGATAGAAATAATCTGCTTGCAACTGTCGATCATGGAAGTTTCCATTTAATTCCGCCTACATGCTCAAATCCGCGCTTAGCATCACAAATGCCAGATTCCACATTCGCTTTTTCCGATTTCTACCGTAGCCCGTTTTCCCCAACAGATTAGAATCTGGAAATTCAATTCGTTTTTCAGGTTGAAGCCGAAAAGTCGTACATCAGCTGCAAAACGGCGGCAACGCAGGCAATCACCGAGGCACAGGAAACAAAGGTGAATCGTCTTAGAGCCTAGGACAGCACTTCAGGCCTAAAGTGGCATAGAGCTGGCACAAACAACTTGAGCAGTTGAGAAGACGATACGAGAAGGGACCTGAGTTTATCGATTGCCACTTACAATTCGAGGGGTCGTCTTCACCAAATACTTATCTTACTAAAAAATCTGCCTCCTTTCTCCAGCATATGCACGGTGCCCAGTAGCGAACACTGTTATGCGCATAGGGTAACGGCAGGGGGCGAGGGGAGGGCTGCCAAATGCAACCACCCACTTGATGAGCGTTAAACACTTGGCACTCTGCTTCAACAGTCACGCTTCCACAAAGGCGTTAGCAAAACGAAAGTTGGGAACGGTGCGATCAAAATGAAAAATGAAAATACGCAACATCATGATGGAGGAGTAGCGGCGTAGAGGTAGAGCGACCCGCTGCAGAAGCGTATCTGCCGCTGACAAATTTTTTTCCGAATCAGCGCAAGAGATTTTTCGCGTTGTTAAATTTTTTGCGCTTTCCCTTGCTCCCATTAAAAAGTTCTAGTGGGGGAATGCGGGGGAGGAAAGAGCGCCGTTGTGCAGGAAAAAAAACCGGGTTAGGAGGGGGACTGTCTGACTATTTGTTCCATCACAATGCTGTACCCTGTGTTCCAATTCGACTACAACCGATTTCCAGGAGTGTTGTTGAACGGTGTGGTTCAGATTACTAACAGGGCTCCCTCTTTGCTCCCCGCGCCCACTTCCCCCACAAAGGGACAGATGTTCAAGCAGCCGTTCGGCTTCAAGATGCGGGGGCCGATAGTTTTGCCGTTGCGCTCACTTTCTCATCCATGGTGTTCGTTGATTTCGAACTGTTGACAGGTGCGTCTCGACAAAATTGACCACGCTCTCTTTTATCGCTTTACCAAGATTCCAAGCAGAATCTCTACTCGATGATTCGACATCATGCTGGGAAGCAGCGAAAGTGCAATAGGCCCAACCTCCCCCCCCAAGCCCAACTGGCCAATTTTCTTTCCAGTACTTCTCTTTCCGCTGATGTCCACCAATCTTTCTCGCGTTCTCCTGACTGATAAGTTTTTCCTATCAGGAAGCCGTTAAGCTCTTTGAGCTTGAGTGCAGCCAAATTAGCCCTACACTAGACGATTAGACTCTGCATCTTCAGAACACATGGCTCGGCAACACCCAGTGCAAACTATTACATGTAACTGGAAGGAAGATCACAGCTCTCACCCCTGATATCTGACGGCTTTTCGCTGCCACTCTAACCTGTGTTCGAAGTAAGAGCACTACCCGGCGCAGTTCGGTTTGGTGGGGGCATATCGTTGGGGCCCATCGATCACTGCCGAGGCCTCCCGTGGAGACCTGTAAATTCTTGTGAAGCTACGCAAAAGCACGAGCTTCGTTCACACGTGACAACAGTCCCCAGATCTCATCGAGGTGAAACGTGTAATTCAATCGGAACCAGTAAAAGAAACTGGGAAGTAGACAGATGTCTGCCCCCCCCACCCTTACTGCTCTATCATTCGCTCGTAATAGTCATTATTGCAATGGTTTCTTTGTAATTCTAGTTACAATCGTCGTCAACGGAGGCCTACCTGGCAGAGATGTGCCGCGCGATGGACGGGTATCTGCGCTGCTCTCATCCAGTGATCCTCGAAAAATGTGGTGCTGAAGCCTGGAAACTGGTGTCAACGGTGCGTTTACAGTTTATACTTCTGAGCGAGTTTGAAGGAACCGCTGACAGCAAAAAATTAAGCGAATAGGCCATTAGTAACCATTATGCTCTGGTGCCCCTTGTAGGACCTTCCCATGTACACGTGTTTCTGAGGATTATTGATTTTACGCGCGTTGCCGCAATGCCCACCGAGCCACCTTCGTTTTCGACTGCGTCTTTCACTCTACTCACAGGCTCAGGCACCCAAAGACGCTTTATATACAGGGGGGGGG